CTCTTCCTGCCATGGCAGGGGGTCGGACTAGATGATCTGCTCAGGTCCCTTCCGACCCTAGAAACTATGAAACTATGAAATGTTCCCTCTAAGGGGTAGCGGTCTGTGAGCGCGCTGCTTTGGTGCATCATGGGACACTTACCAAAGGTAAGGTCCTCAGCCGGGGCAGGCAGCGGGGGCTGGGGCCCGGAGGCCCGAGGGCTAGGGGGCTTCAGGGCTGGAGCCGGGGGCTGGCGCACGCTCTGCCAGCTCTGGGACACTGCTCCACTCCCCCGCTTCGCCTCAAGGAGCAAGGAGGCACGTGGCATCAGAGCTGGGGAGTGGAGCACTTCCGTGGAGCCGGATGAGCCCGCAGAGCAGTTCCCCAGAGCCAGCAGAGCCTGCGCCAGCCCCAACCTCCATCCCTGCCTTGCCTCACCCCAGGGAGGAACCACTGCCTGCTCCAAGTGAGGCTCTGCTGGCTCTGGGGAACCGCTCATGGCATCAGGGCTGGAGCACTTCCCCGGAGCCTGCAGAGCAGTTCCCCAGCGCCGGCAGAGCCTCACTCGGGGCAGGCAGCAGCTCCTCCCCAAGGTGAGGCAAGGCATAGATGGAGGCTGGGGCTGGGGGCTGGCACAGGCTCTGCCAGCTCCGGGGAACTGCTCTGCGGGCTCCGCAGGCTCCAGGGAAGTGCTCCACTCCCCAGTCCTGATGCCATGTACCTCCTCACTCCCTGAGGTGAAGCGGGGGAATGAAGCGGTTCCCTGGAGCCGGTGGAGCCCACGCCAGGCTCCTGCTCCTGGCCATGCCTCCACCTCTGCCTTGCCTCTTGGAGGAACTTACCATCATGTAAGTGTCCCATGCCACAGCCCAGCTCCTATCCCGGCAGGTACACAGCGCGCACATGCACACCTTAGAGAGAACCTTGATCACAATTACTGTATTTAATGGTATATAGGTCCCATGCAGTGTATAAGTCGACCCCATTTTTTCAATCCAAAAAAATAGGAATTTCATAGATCTGGTGCATCAAGTTGACTTAACTTTTTGGATTAGAAATATGAGGTTGACTTATACCAGCCCCTGTATGTCCTCGCTGCAGGCTGGGTACTCAGGGAGGTAGACACATGCTACAGCACTGCTCACAAGCGAATGGGGTTGGGCTTGGCTGGCATGGCCCCATTCCCTGCAAGCAGCACTGCCTGGACTGTGTCAGTTGAGCGCTGAGCCCGGCAGCACTCACCTAGGACGGAGCCGTGCCAGCCAAGCACTAAGCCTGGCCCTGTCTGCTGCAAGTGGCACTGCTGAGCACCAAGCCCAGCACCACTCACAGGGACAGGGCTGGGCTTGGCAGCGCCACTCGCAGCGGATGGGGCCAGGCTCAGCACTCGGCTGGTGTGGCCCAGGCAGCGCCACCTGCGTGGGATGGGGCTGGCTCAGTGCTTGGCTGGTGCAGCCCAGGCAGCGCTGCTTGCAGGGAATGCATGAAACCTGAATGAAAAAGAGGCTAATCTGCCCCCGTTTTAGCTCTCATTACAATGGAGCAACTGCACGCATGGGGACAGTCACTGTAAAGCAGCTGAGGCCTGGGAAAATCCCACCGCTGGTTAACTACAGACTTGTTACAGATTCGACAGGCTCATGAACCCACTCACAACTACTTTAACCCCTGGTTTGGGAACTGCTGACCCGCAGGCCACTTTTCACAGGTTGAAGGTCTATGCAGCTCTAATACGGAGACTACCACAAACCCCACTAGGCTTCTGGATGTATTGGTTCTGCTGAACATAGCTAATGCAACGGGGATTAACAGGGTGTGCTGAGAGGACAGAAAAGCTACAGAGCTAAGAAAAGCAATGGTTTTGCTCTTACTTTTTCACATTCTTCACTTTCATGCTTGCTGTGCTGCCACATGTCCGAAGTGGCAGCTCCCCTGTAATATCTGGGATATCTGCACCTCTTGCCTACAAAAAATGAAGAAATGGAATCGTTAGATAGGTTGCACACTACATTTTGTTGCCTCCAACACCAGCTACTTGTACACCCTGCCCATTAGATTTTCCAGATGCACTTTTCTTACGTACATTGAGGCTAGGAACAGACACTGCATTTGTCCCTGGACAAGTTGTGTCTGTGTTTGTCCCAAAACAGAAATATCCCAAAACTGGCATGTACGCGCATAGCTCTTACAATAAGGGGTTAGGTAAGGCTAAATGAATTGCCACTTTTCCACAATTGCTTCAATGATGCAGTCCCAACAACCATTCAGATGTACTTTGCTATGTCCCAGAATACGCTGTTAGTGCTTTTCATCCCATGAACCTTTTTAGGACGTATCCCAAGACAACGGACACAAACATTTAAATAATGTCACTTTGTCCTAGCATAAAATGGTTTACTCTGGGACAAATGTGACGTCTGTTTGTAGCCCGAGTCCAGGGTTTCTGACCTCACATGCAATTAGCTGATGCCTTAGCTTCCCATAGAGCCCTGATTCTTATTAATCAGTAACAGATACAAGAGATGATAAACCCAAGGAATTAATAAGGAAGAGCTTTTCAAAACTAGGAGCTAATACATGGACCTAAACAAGTCAAGAGATGATAAACCCAGGGAATTAATAAGAAAGAGCTTTTCAAAACTAGGAGCTAATACATGGACCTAAACAAGTATCCCGATTTTCAGAACTGCAGCCACTGAAGGCAATAGAAGCTGCTAGGACCTCAGCATTGTCAAAAATCAGTTTAATTATTTAAGTGCCTAAGCATGGAAATGTTTCTGGAAATGTTTTGGATTCTTGGCCTAAGTAAATGTACACAGTAAAAAGCCTGGATCAATACTAAAAGGTACACCAAAAAGGGATCACAAGATACACATCTGCTTGTAAGTGCATGTTGCATTGTTGTTTAACATTCCTAACTTCCTAGTCATTCACACTCTAGACCTTTTTAAAATTTACTGTCCTGTCACTAATGAAGTTTCAGACCAAAAGACAAAGGGTAAAAAACACATAGTTGGTGCAATGGCAGCAGTTGCGTCTTTATATTTTGCCTCACTCAGAAGGATAAATTTGAATTGTATTTACATCCCTCGGGTACTCATTTACCCCCGCTAAAAAAAAAAGATGATTTTACTGGAGGCCTGAGTTACCTCCTCAGTGTCTCCAAATACCCCATATCTCATAGACTGCATAGGAAGTCTGTATCATTAAAATACAGACAAATAAAAGGTACAGATATAGGGTCCTTTAGTGCACAGTTGTTCACCTAGGCCAGAACTTCATCTTGTGGTACAGCTCTGATTTTTCCAGATCCCGCAATCAAAATCATGTTCACCCACAGGCCTAGTGAACCTCTCTAAAGATGTACACGGGCTCAGCCATGCACATAGGAAACAGGGCTGAAGCATTAATTTTGTTATTTGTAGTAACTGTCACCACAATTTTAAGAAAGAATTGGTTCATGCTTTAATGATGGATGACAAAGACGTGAAGGGGGTCCAGAAACTTCAGAAGAAGCTGGAGTGGTTTCAATATTGCCAGAGGCTCAATCTTCCTACTTTGCAGTTTTCTTCTGTTGTGAGCTTCATACTGAACAAAGGAGAACAGGATGATTGTACTTTTCTACACTGCTCTGCGTATCCTTATTCAAAATAACAATTTTACTCTCTTTGTAGGGAAGACAATTTACTTTATGTATCAGGCCACAAATAAATAGGATTCCAAGCCTTTAAATATATGTTATTGGTGACATTTACCCTTAGAATAAAAACAAGCATGTGATCTGCAGCAAAAGAACCTTCCCTTGGCTACCTAACGGGTATTCACAGTAGTAAAATTCAGAACTAGATTTCAAGCACCTCTTTAATTGAAGGCATCTAGAGCCACAGTGTCAGCACAGCTTCATTACTAACTCTGAAACCTTTTCTTTTCTTTTCACAGCACAAGGCAATGAAGTGCCAGAGGCTACGTCAGTGCTTTACATACTGTTCAAAGTGACACGGCCCTTGCTTTTAGTGGCTTCCCAGCCAGATAAAGAGATACCATATAGAAATGACAATTTAGGGCCTTGTTGCACATGAATTTTAAGCAGCTCCCGGAGCTCTTAACCCCTGGATTGTCCACACATGAACAGCTGACACTAGTTTTAAGCACACTTTAGGCACCTTAAAGTTACGCCACTCCAGGGCAGGTTTCTCTGGTCCATGTTCCCCCGCTCCTGGTCCATCAGTGTGCGGCCACTCCCCACAGATGAGCCACCCAAGTTGCAGTCCTCCAGCATCCCTGGGTGCAGTATAACCACCCCATCCTCCTGCTCTGTGTGGACAAACTTTCCATCCCTTGATCTCTACTGATCAGGGGACAGTTGTGGCACCAAGTCAACTAACCCCCTCCTCCCAGTAGTGTGACTTTCCCACTTCCAGGGCTGCAAGCCCGTGCACATACCAGCTAGCCAGGTCCCAGAGCACAGATGGGTCCAGAAGCGGTCTAGTTGGTTATGGAGGGAACAAGGTAGGGAGCTGGACTAGGTCCCCATGAGCTGGCACGTCCCTCCAGGGGCAGGGGCAGTAGCACCCCCAAAAGCACCTAACTTCACTGCTCCCGCATCCCGGCCACCTTGGGAAATAACATCAGCACCCCCACACCCCAACCCTAAACCCAATTTATTAAAACACTAGCAAACTGCCTGTCATGAATGATGTCCCCCACCCCCGCACCCTGCCATCCGGCCCTGTGGGCCCCCC